ATGAAGATACTAATCCCATGTATCAGCCATTGGGAATAAAGAGTTCTAGCCAGGCAGCATGGGGCAGAATGGAAAACACAGATGGACTTTCTGCTTCTACTACATTAGACACAGTCCACAGATAGGAAATGCTACCAATGGAATACTATGACATGTAAAATCCAAGGGGAGTTGTGATTCTCAAGTGAAGTTTCTAAGAGGAGCTACAAGGATGGCAACGGGAGGAAAGCCAAAGAATGGGAGAAGCGAGGACAGGTCGTGGGTACCACTTGTACAGACAGGGAGACCTTGGTGCAGTTCTGGGCCCTGGGGGCTGCACCATGGGATATTGACCCCGAATATAAACCCTGGAGAATGGGGGAAACCCAGATCAAAGCACACAAAGCAGCAAGAATCGTAAGGGCCATGGTGGGCGAGAAAGTTTGTGAATAAGAGATGATTCTGGAGATTTGTTATCAGTCAGTGACTTAACAAGAAACACAGTTGGGGCTGGAGAGATGGCTCAGTGGTTAAGAGCACTGACTGCTCTTGCAGAGGACCCTGGTTCAATTCCCAGCACCCATATGGCGGCTATGAACTGTCCTTAACTCCAGTTCCAGGGGAATCCGAAGTCCTCTTCTGACCTCCGGACAATGCACGACACAGGTGCACTCACTTGCATTCAGGCAATACATTCATACACATAAAATAAAAATAATAAACAAAATATTTAAAAAAAGAAACACGGTCATCCTAAAATTATGGCTAAATTAAGAAATCTGAGGAGTACCAGGCCTGGTCTGTGTGACTGACAGAATGCAACAAAAGTGATACTGTGCTACTTCTGAGATTAGGTTATAAAAGACTGCAGTTTCTGTCTTCTGAACGTCTCCTCATATAATCCTCAATAAACTCTTACTGGATACATGGATGGCTGACTGAGAAAAGACAGATGTAACAGCAATCACCTGATCCTCCCAGTTTCCTTTCCATAGAGCATAGACCTTTCCTGGTTCTGCCTTCTCCATGGTCCCTACTTCCCATCACCCAAATCCTCATCCATGAAAACAGAACCAATTTCTTACTGTCACACAAGACAGTTATTATAGAAACGCTAGGGTGAGACCCTGGGGTTGGTCCTCTTCATGGATTATTTCTTTTGAAGGTAAGAAGTTCTAACCACTATTTCAGTTTACTTAGGGGTAAAGGTTTAATAAATTGGAAAATAATTCTGGTGGATTAGTTGGCTAGCATGAGTCTGTCCCTTGAGTTACAATACATTTGCATTCTTTTTCTGAACCAGAAAAATTAGAATGGGCTTAATTTATCTGTTTCCAAGGGGATAAAAGCTGTCTTCAGAAATTTGCTCTGCCTTTCTTGTTTTAACTTCCATTTTTAGATAATTACACATGAAAGCTTATAAAATAATGCCTATTGACTTCATTATCTATAAGAAGTATCAAGCATTGCAGTACTTGGAAGACTGTTTCAAAGTCAGCATATTCCTAGCATAAACTAATAAGGATATATGTATTTATCATTAATTCTTTAAACATTTACTGAATATAGGTCACTTGCTTACTTTCCAGAGGCACCAGGAACATAAAATTACTTCCCTTGAGTGGCTCACCCTGTCCTAAGTGGAGGCAAATCCAACAGAAATAGACTTGATATACTAAGTTACTCATCATATATTCAAAGGATCATAGAACTAGTTTTGTAATGGCTCTTGACAGTAAAATTTTGTATTATTAATCTAGCTTTTACAATCAGGGGTAACACATTTGGTAGGTAAACTTGGAAAGTAAAAATGTCATCTAGTAGCAGGTGAATGGATAATGAAAATGTACACATATACAATGGAGTTTTTTTCAAACATAAAGAAAAATGAGCATGAAATTTGCAGGAAAATGAATGGAACTGGAAAACATTAAGTGAAGTGCCCCAGGTTCACAAAGACAAATACCATATGTTCTCTCTCATGTGCAGATCCCAGCCTCTAACTGCTAAATATGTATATCCAGGTGGGAGGAAATGTGGGTAAAGGCCAGGAAAGTAGAAAGGGGCCTATGTGATTAGAAACAAAGAGACTTTAAGGGAAGGGCTGGGATAACAACAGAACAAAGTGAACACTGGGGGCAGTGGGGAAAGGGAAGGCAGGGAGATGAGGGGGAACCTGTATGTGTGCAATCAACCAAAATGAAATATGTATAAAAATCAGCCAGGCATGGTGGTGGCACACATCTTTAGACCCAGCACATGGGAGGCAGAGACAGGTGGAGCTCTGTGAGATGAAGGCCAGCCTAGTCTACATAGCGAGTTCCAGACTGCCTGGGGCTACAGGGAGGTTGTGTCTTTAAAAAAAGTATGAAAATCCTATATGGAAACTTTACTTTGTATGATAATTGAAAGATAAAAACAAAATATTTTTTAAAGTTGGCTACCAATAGAGGTTGAGTCTTGCCAGGCGGGGGAATCTTTGACCATACTATGAGATAAGAGTGACAAACATGTTTGTTGTGTACTGTGGAAAGACAATGCCATCTCACGTCTCACATCCAGATGAATGTAGAAAGGTGAGGATTAGAGTTATTCACTATTTTCACAACCACGTGTTCTCATCGTATTCTTTTTACTACTTGGGTTTAAATACATTAGGATGATGGGTGAGTGGGTGGTGGAAGAAGCAAGAAGGTAAATTTGGAGGCTTGTGGTTTTCATCTGTTTTACTTGCTTAAATTTAGGATAAAAAAGATCTCTGCTTAAAAGAAACCACAGCAATGCAAATGCTAACCAAAACAATAGCTATAAGTTGCAGAGAGCAATACACACTAGTCACTGTTCTATGTTTTATGTACACCATCTCGTTTAATCCCTCATGCTTCTCCCACTCCAGTAAAGCTCTATTTCAGAATAGTCCCATAGCAGAAACACCCTGTAGTTATTTGCAATTCTAAATTTAAAAGAGTTCTGTCACCTTTGACCTTGAATCTACTTGATGCTTTAAGAAGGTGAACTAGGGCCTCTGAGATGGCTCTGGTAAAGGAGCGTGCTGCCAAACCCAAAGACCCGAGTTCAGTCCCTGGGATCCATGCAGTGGAAGGAGAGAACTGACTCCTGAAAGTTGTCCTCTGACCTCTATTTTTGTGCCATGGCATGCCAACCAAAGCTGGGCACAAAGAACAGCGTGCTTGCTTCTTGGAATTACTGCAGGAACCATTAACTTCCTTCTGTCTCTCACAGATAGAACTTCCTTCTGTCTCTCACAGATAGAACAGAAGAGTTGAAGCCTGCACCTACCTATCCCAGCTGCCCTCCTTTGTTCTGGGTCCCACCCAGCTCTTGGATTCATTCAGAGGCCCCACTCATCTCTTGTATAGTATACATGTGGTTCTGGAGACTAGCTCTCCTGCCTAAGGAAGCAGAGTGGTCCTGCCAATGCAAACACCCTGAAATTCCTGGGATCACTGTTCTCTGTTCTGAGGGGAATGAGGCAACAGGCAGATCTGTCTTGGATGTTTCCAAATAGCCAGATAGCAAAAGGCATAGAAGGAGGAGCTCCAAATACCATAGAGACTTTGCTGGCTTCTGGAGACCCTGATCTCTCTCCTGGGTGGATGGAAACTCAGATTCACTGTCCTTCAAGCACAGCCATGCTGCAGATCTGGGAGGGGAAGGCACCTGCCACTACACCCTGGACACTTTCTCTTTATAAGAACCTTCCATCCTGGGCTCCATCCTCCAAGCCGTTTCTCCTAAACTTTGCTTTTGTTGGTGGTATTTAGACATGCTGTTTTCTCTCCTCCGGGTGTGTTCTAGGATTTGATCTAATTGTCCTGCTGTTCAAGTGTCAGTCCGCATTATTATTGGGAAGATGAATGGGACACGGGTCAGAGTTCAGCAAGAAGGCATCTGCTCACTTGCACTGCATAGTGGAAGCACTCTGAGGTGATCTTTAATAAAAGCTTGGAAAACATTTGAACAGAGCAGGCCGTCTTCTGTCCTTCTGAAGCTGGAGTGACCAAAAAAAGTGGTTCTTTGCTGGAGAGAGAAAATAAGTAAATAGGAGGGAGGAATACATTTCCAGGAAGTAGCAGAGAAAATGGGGGTGTGTGGGGTGTGCGATTAAACCGAGGAGAAAAATGGAAGCTTTAGAAAGGATCCGAACCATTTGCATGCTTCCGGCAAGAACAACCTCACCGAAAAAGTTTCCACTGCACTGGCAAAGCCTCTCACCCTCTGGTTTCCTGAGGTCTCGGGTTACTGCGCCATCGCGGGCTCAGGTTCTCTTACTGAATTCATTTGACAGTTCTTCCACTTAACCAAAGGGCCAGAACCCCACCAAGGAAGGCCTGCCATTGCTTTGGCATTGAGGCAAGTGGGACAACGGTTCCATTGTTCTTTTTGCCCTCTTCAATAGGGCAAGTGTCTCCTCTATAGAATCGGATAAGGAAATCTTGTCCAGGGTCCTTGGAGAGTCACCTTCCTTCCCCTCCCTGTTGTGTGCCTCTCTGCCCTGGAACCATCAAAGCTATTTGGGGGATCTGTGTGGACGTGGCTTTTTCTCCACCTTGCTCTTGAAACTTGGGAGGGGGAAGAAAGAGGCACAACTCATGAAGCTCATTTGTAGGTCAGGTGCCAGCTTCAGCCTGGGGTTTCCTTCGGGTTCTCTGGGCAGATGCCCCGTGGTGGCACCAGGGATTCCCCAGCAAGCACTAAAATACCCAGGGCTAGGAAACCCCGCGCTACCCAAGGCTCGCTGCAGAAGCAGGCTGGGTGGGGATGCCCACACTGGCTTTCAGCACCGCGGGAGCCCGGGAGTGATCGCGCAGGGCGCACCTTTGCTGCGGGATTTCCCTGCAGCCTTCCGGGGACCCCGTGGAGCTTCCTCTGCTCCCGTGGGCGCAACCTCAATCTCCTCGCGCCTTAGCTCACTTGAGAGAGCGCCATGTCCCTCTCTGAGCATGCGCAGCCCTCTCCCCGCCTCCCAGCCTCCCCAGGCGCCCCCTCCCCGCCTGCCTTTTGCTCCTTTCCTTTCATTAAACAAATAGGAGATCCCGAAACCTGGACCCAGCTCCAGGAGGAGGCGGAGGTAGGCAGAGCGCGGGATGGGCGCAGAGGAGCATCTGTGATTTCTCGCACCCCTGGCCCCTCGCGCACACCCCCACGCACACTCACACGCACACACACACACACACACACACACACACACACACACGCACACACACTCCACACGCCTGCGCTGCGCGCTCGCCGGCTCCCTCTCCCACGCAGGCGGAATGCAGCAGCGCCCGGCAAGCGCGTCTGCAGCCGCTGCCTGAATGCACCTAGCTGCCCTGAGCCGGACGGCCCCGTAGGGCGCACGGAAGGACGCTCCGCCTGCGGAGGTGAGTGTGGAACCCGCGGCCAGAGAGCTGCGCCCGACGTGGCTGTGCCTGGACATCGGGGGCAGGTTCCCGAACCCACAATGCTGCTCAGGTGGTCCACGCACGGCTTGTGGGTTTCAGGGTGCCGATGAAGGTAGCATCCTGGTTGTTGGGAGGAGGAGAGGGCGATTCCAGGGAGGGTCGCCTCCTGCAAGGTGTCAGATGGACCCAGCAGAAAGCGACCCCCTTCAGGCTCGTAAACTTTCCTCGGCTGTCATTTGGGGAACGTGGAGACAAAGGGGGCGTGGAGGCTCTCTGTCCGGTTCCGCCCTTCTGACTGCGTTCTTGGCTGGGATGCTGAGCCGGTGAGCGCGGGTGGGCGGGAGGCCCTGGAGGCCCTGCAGGTAACTGATGCCAAATTCTTCGCACCCCACCCCCAGCTGTAAGCATTGGCATTGATTTTGCTTTAGAAGTGGGCACCTGCCAGCCCCACTTTCCCCTGAGCCCCAAGCATGTACTAACGTGTGCAGGGTGTCACCTGGAGAATTGGGACAGCCATGGGCTTTCTCATTCAGCACTGGTGGCAGAGAAGCTCCAGGGTGAGGCTCTGGTCAGTGCAGGATGAATGACGAGTTGCTGAAAGACTTGGCATAATCACCTCCTAGGAACGCTGGGCCCAGGGGGCGGGGGCAGTTCTCTCTTCTCCCTGGGGAAGGTGCTGTCTTCACACACACACCGCCTGGCAGTGCTGGGAGCTGGACTTAGGCTGCTGTGGAGGCTGCAGCTACTGACGAAGCCGGGCTTTATTTTTGCTCTGGGTTTTATGACACACACACACACGTGTGGAATAGGTGAAGGTTTCTGGGTTATTTGTCTTTGTGGGGATATTTCTTTTTTTGCTTTCAACCTTTTCTATGGACATGTTTTGTTGCTTAATGCCTGATTATCTAGCTGGTGGACTGGCATGGTTGTATCTCTTCTGCACTAGAAAAAGGGTCCTGAAAAAAATAATTTTACTTTTAAAATGCCAGTGGCCACTGAGAAAATATCGCAGAGAGCAGAGAGCTCGCCTGGTTGTGGGTGGGGGGTGCAGCTGAAATCTAATGGCCTCTGAGGTAGCCAACACTGGGTCAGCAGGTGAGGCATCCAGGGCCAGGACAAAGAAGAGAAGAGGGGTGAAGGATAAACAGGAGAGGCATGACTAGAAACCAGTTAAGGCAGGATGAGGTCTAGTGCCAGGCACTCCTAAGCTTTCAATGAATTCCTACTTGGCTTCTCCTTCTCCTGTGCTTGCCAGTTCCTGTTCCTGGAGTGGGACTCGAGTTTGGGGATGTCTGGGATGCCTCCTCTTGAACATAAAAGACTAGATTGTTCCTGGACTTACTTTTTGGGTAATCACAAATGTGTTCCTTAGATCTAGAAAGTGCATGTGTGAAAGTTTCTCCATCATAACATTTGTGTGGTGAAGGTGGTGTAGATGCACATGGGTATATTTTGTCTTTTTTGTAACCTACAGTCTGGGATTTGTAAGAGAAGCCAAGCAGACTCTGACAGGAAATGCTGGAAGCTCGGACCCAGTACTTGTGACAGCTGATGGTCAGGGGGTTTCCTTTCTCTGAGATGACACAGGGAGGCCATATCTCTGCTGCTTGGGACAGGAACCTGTTTGGCTTTGAAGATGTTGGCAGTGACGTGGAAGAAAGCATGGTACAGATGAGCTTCTCTGAGAAAGTTCACAGAGGAAAGGGTGATCCCTTCCCTCATAAGCCAGCATAGCGGAGGTCCTGAAGCTATGGAGAAGAAAGGAAAAATGGGAGGGAATTGAGGAAGGGAAACATCTGAGTAAAATAGACTGGCTTTACGATTCTCCATTCTTTAACAGAAGGTGTTTAGTAAGACAGAAATTGGAATGTATGCTTTTTTTTTTAAATAGCTAGTGAAGAAAAGACCTATTCAGAAATATTTTCAAGTTGAAATTGGCATAGTAGGGGTTTAAAAATAATTGTCAGCATATGTCCCTTTATTTTCCCTTCATGGTGAACATTCTCATCATTATTCTAGCAAATCTTGGCAAGAAAAGATCAAGATGGCTATTTTATCTTTTTACTAGAGTTCTTTATCTGATCTGATAAGGTGTATTTCATCTGCAATATCACCTTATTATGATCTATTATAATCATATGCAGAGTCTTTTGATAAGTGCTTATTGATCACGCATTCTGTATTTAGTCCCCGAAGTCATATAAAAATATATCACATAGTTCCGATCATAAAAGTATTTACAATGTCACATTAAATACAAGATTAACACACAAAGCAATCAGAGTAAACAGCTCTGCATTGTGCTGTGTTCCTAATGTATGTGCTGTACATTCCACTCCTCCTCCTGGATTCTGCCAACATTTAGAAAACATGTGTTAGTATTTAGTGTGTGCTGGAGTCAGGAAGGAACAGAATAAAACAAAACATAAGAAAGTAAAACCTGTGGGCTGGAGAGATGGCTCAGTGGTTAAGAGAATTTGGTGCTCTCACAGAGGACCTGGGTTTGATTCCTAGCACCCACATGGTGGCTAACAACCATCCATAACTACTGTTCCAGGGGAATCCGACACCTTCTTCTGACCTCTGTGGCATTGCATGAAATGGGTGCACTTACACACATGCAGGCAATACACTCATAAAATAAAAGTAATAAAAATTTTAAAAAAGAAAGTAAAAACTGGTCTCAACCTTCAAGAAGGAGGAACTACTTATGATGCACTATAATATAATATAACTGCTGTAAGTACAGAGGAAGCAAGTACCAGTAGTACATAACATGTCTGCGATTTATTTTTTTTTCCTGAGGTGATCTTTAGGATATTTTTGAAAAATGAATAGTCTTTACAGGTGAAGTATTGAACAGTCATTCCAAGCAGAGAAAAATGTGTGAGTGCTTGATCTAAATGAAGGTAACTCTAAGTCACCCCATGTGACTATAGCTATAGAAAGCACCTGGGTGACCCTAATTAATAACTAATGCTATGGAGTGTTTTGTCTAGAGATATGGCCAGCATGCTATGAAAGCACAAAGGGAGAGCTCCCAGCAAAGGGAAAGTGGGAAGATCAAAAAGTTTCTTGGGGAGTTTGATGAGGCTGAGTCCTGAACAGGGAAAGAGAAAGACTTCCCAGGCATAGAGTTTGCGAGCACTAGATGTAGCTCTGTGTGACTACAGCAAGAGATGTGGGTGTTATTGCCTTGAAGTGGAGCAGCAGCACTCCAGAGGAATAAGCAGGAAGTGAGTGTGAACAAAATTCCCCTCAAGGGAAAGAGCTCCAGTGTTATGTAAAAGCCCAGGAGCCTTTGGAGAGTGGGAAAGTTTGAGAAATCATCAGATTTGTATTAGAGAATGATGTCCATCATTGAGGGGAGTTCTGTTTACACTTTAGTGTGGGAGATGACCTGGAGGCTGCATGTCAGGAGCTTATTGTGGAAATATAGGTATGAAATAATGGGGTGGTGGAGTGGGGGTGGAGAGGAGATATATTCAGAAGAAAAGAGATAAAAAGTAAAACCTGGGGCTGGAGAGATGGCTCAGCAGTTAAGAACACTGACTATTCTTGCAAGACCAGAGTTTGAATCCCAGCACCCACATGGCAGCTAACAACTGTCCGTAACTCCAGTTCCAGGGGATCCGACAACCTCTTCTGTCTTGCACAGGCATTGCACGACATGGGTGCACTTATCTACACGCAGGCAATACATGCATACACATAAAATAAAAATAATAAAACATTTTAAAAAGAAGTAAAGCCTGCTATTCCCTTCCTGTGTCCCTGCATGCATCACCCTCTGCTCCCTTCGCATTCACTTGTGAGCTATGTTTTCTGTTTCATGAGGACAAGATCATCATTACTGTATCTTCAGTAGTTAGCACAGGCCTGTTATAAAGTAAGGACTCAATATACATTTGTTGAATGAAGGATTAAATAAGTGAATGAGAAATCCAGTCACAAATTGATGATTTTACACAAGGATAATAGAAATTAAATCATGACCTGTTTCTACATAGGAATCCTCTCTGGGGAGGCCAGTGATAAAAATGTTCCAGGGGGGTCACAGATCAAAATAAGAACATATTTCATTGCTTCCTCTGGGAAGAAATATTTCAAGAACCACTAGAAAAAAGTATTGACTTCAACATCAGCACATCTTGGAGGCAATGGCAGTTACAAAATTACTTCCTGACGTGGTGGTTTGGCAGTGATTGGCAGTGAATGTGAATCTTTTCCCTCCCCCCTTACTTGTCAGAATATTCCAAGTTCATGTACTTTGTGAAAACTTTTCAAGTAAGTTGAGACTCAGCATTCCTGAGCTCTAGGGTCTCATTTGAAGAGCTTGTGGAATCTGGGCATCCTAGGATGTGGGCCAGACACCCGTGATCTAGACATCCGCAGTACAACCTGAGGGTGTAGGCACCTCATTGACCCAATCTCAAACATTACAAGGTCCATTATGAACGTCTCAGTATGAGATGCCATCCTGGCCAGATGCCAAATTTCTTTTCAGGCAGACTACAGTGGTGAGGGCGAAGGAACATTCCCAACAGCACAGAACATATGATGTTTGGTGGCTGCATAGGTGGTGGCAGAGGAGTGAGGAGGGCGTTAGACCAGGAGAGTGTGGAGGATGAATTGGAGGCTGCAGGCTGGGAGATCTTTAAAAGTACTAGAAAGATCTCAGTGTACAGTGATTTCACAGTAAATGCCAACTCTTGTTTGCATTAAGGGAGAGGATGGAAAGACTAGAGACCATCAACCTAGAGACTATCTCGTCAGCGAGCCACATTTAGGGGCAAAGGGGAGACACAACTCTGGTAATGAATGTAGGGGTGGGCTTCTCATACAAGGTAGGCGAGAATAAGCATGGAAGTCAGAACCTGGGGGATTCATGAGGGGTGGTCAGACTTGAGAGAAGCACCCTGGGTTAGGCCTTGCAACAGCACCTACACATAGGATTCCTTTCAGCCCACAGCATGCAT